CTTCTATTAGATGCAGGATGTCTGGTTTAATTCCTAGGCCCTTGATCCACTTTGAGTTTTGCGAATGGTGAGAGATAGGGGTTTAATTTCATTTTGTTGCATATGGATTTCCAGTTTTCCCAGCACCATTTGTTGAAGAGGCTATCTTTTCTCCAATGCATGTTTTTGGCACCTTTGTATAATATAATTGTAATTGTGTGGGGTTAGTCTCTGTGTCCTCTGTTCTGTACCATTGGTCTGCCAGGCTGTTTGGTGCCAATACCATGTTCTTTTTGTTACTATTGCTCTGTAGTAGAGTTTAAGGTCTGGTATAGTGATGCCACCGGCTTTACTCTTCCTGCTAAGGATTGCTTTAGCTATTCTGGGTCTCTTATTTTTCCAGATGAATGTCATGATTGCTTTATTTCTATAAGGAATGTCACTGAAATTCTGATAGGAATTGCATTAAATCTGTAAATCACCATTAACCCAGCTATCCCTCTCCTCAGTCTATACCCAAAAGACTTAAAAACAACATACTACAGGGACACAGCCATATCAATACTTATAGCAGCACAATTCACAATAGCTAAACTGTGGTACCAAACTAGATGCCCTTCAATAGATGAATGGATAAAAAAATGTGGCATATATACACAATGGAATATTACTCAGCAATAAAAGAGAATAAAATCATGGCATTTGCAGGTAAATGGATGGAGTTAGAGAAGATAATGCTAAGTGAAGTTAGCCAATCCCAAAAAGCCAAATGCCAAATGTTTTCTTTGGTATAGGAGGGTGATTCATAGTGGGATAGGGAGAGGGAGCTTGGGAGGAATAGACAAATTCTACATAGGGCAGAAGAGTTGGAGGGGAAGGGAGAGGGCATGGGGTTACTAATGATGGTTGAATGTGATGATCATTATTATCCAAAGTACATGTACGAAGACACAAATTGGTGTGAATATACTTTGTATACAACCATAAATATGAAAAATTGTGCTCTATATGTGTAATAAGAATCATAATGCATTCCAGTCATATATAAATAAAAATATTTTTAAAAGGATTTTATTTTGTAGGCATTGTCTTCTCTATTGTTTCATCTCTAGTTAAAATTTTATTTAAATTCTCTGCTCTGGTTTCCTGATAGTATCTAAGTGTAACTCTTCTGCTCCTCTACTTGGGTCTTTCCAACATGCTAGTTCCAAAGCAGTGTGATGCCTTCCGTTTCTTTGCTTCAATCCCTGCTTTCAGAATGGCTTGATGGATGTCCTTTAAGTGGATTCTAGACACCACTACTGACTAGTTAATCAACATTCAGTTATTAATACAATCATTTTCACATATGGCTTAGTTGTTTCGATATAGGTGGATGTTTATGCTTTATCTGTATAAAGTGCTTACTGTGTAAAATGTTCATATATCACAGAGGCCACTCAGTTTACAAGATATTCAAGTTTAGGGTGCACACGGACTTTGGAATCAGACAAGTAGAGTGTTTTATTCAGTTATTTCACTGTTGTGACCAAAAGACCTGACAAGAATAATTAGAGGAAAAGTTTATCTGGGGGTTCAAGGTTTCAGAGGTCTCAATCCATGGACAGCCAGCTCCAGTACTCTGAGCCCAATGTGAGGCAGGACATCATGGCCTAAATGTGTAGAAGACAGCAGCTGGAAATATGGCACCCAGGAAGAAGAGAAAAAGAGATAGCACCCCTCATCACAGACAAAATATAAACCCCAAGGGCACATCCCTATCTACCCAGCTCTTCTAGTCACACTCTACCTGCCTACAGTTACCACCAGTTCATTCCTATCAGGGGATTAATGCACTGATTAAAGCTCTCATAATCTTAATCATTTCACCTCTAAACTTTCTTGAATTCTCTCATGCATGAGCTTTTGGGAACACCTAATATCGAAACCATAACATGGGCTATAGTGGCCCAAGTTCCTACTTACTAGCATGTAACTACTATTACTAGTCTTGAGATGTCCATTTTCTCATCTGCAAAATGGAGGTGGTAATACTTAATCTGAGGTTGTGGAGGATTAAATGTAAAGCAATTGGCCCCGTGCTAGGAAGTGGTGGGTTTGACATACACACTACAGCAATTATTAATAGATTAAGAAAATGAGTCTTGGTTTTATGAGGTGGTGAATAAGGCAGAACTAGATCTTGCCTTTTAAATAAGGAACCATGAGAAAAAAAGTGACTTCTCCTATAAAACAACTATCATGCTTAAAGTCTTGGGAAACAGGATCCTTCTCTCTCCTCAATTTTGAATATTACAATATATTAAAATTCTTCCTTAAAACAAAACAAAAAAATTAATTATAAAAACCCTAAAATTGGGGGCTGGGGTTGTGGCTTAATGGTAGAGAACCTGCCTAGCCTGTGAGGCCCTGGTTTGATTCTCAGCACCACATATAAGTAAAAATAAAGGTCCATGACAACAAAGAGAAATATTTAAAAAATAAATAAAATTGTTCTTTTTGAGTAAATTGGGTAGCCTCCAATTATAATACCTTCAATGTTAATTTAAGTGGAAATTACTTCTTAATATACCCTTAATATATAAGAAATGGAATTAAGGACTTAGCTGTGTGATATCTCTTTCTATCTCATACACAAGCTATCAGGTTACCTTCTTATCTATAAAAATTAGAAATTGTCCAATTTCAGTTAGCTGATGTATACAAGAGAAATTCACAAAATACATGGATGTGTTTTGATGATAGAAACATTGGCCGAATTCAGAAAGTTAAAGGGTATCTAGTCCATCTTAACTGTTCATAGAAAAATCTTCGTATGTTGTCAGGGACCTGAAGATGAAATGTGTTTTGAGGGTTAGCATAACTAAAATCATGAGACTGAGGAGAGTCTACAGTATCAGAGTATGATACCAAAGAAATCCCTTTGTGTTCTGGGAAAGATAACAGTAGGGTATGGTGTGAGACCACAGATGTTTGGTTTAACTATTCATAGCTTAGGATAGTAGGTCGTCTCAAAAATGCCTCTGCTGAGCCAGTTACCAGTAAGATTCCACCTACGTATGTACTACTTAAATATCTTCCTACATACTCAGGCCTAAATGACCTGCCAATATAGGATATCTGTGACAGTTATGAGAGAATGGCCTTGCTTGCTTAGGATTGTGTGTGGGTGTTGAATATGACACTTTAAACATAAATTTATGAGGTGCAAACTTTTAATGCAAAGATGACTCATAAGGTTTCAGAATGTGTAAATATGAAGCACAATCTAATTTGTACCATCACTGGTGCTCACCCACAGCAAAACTACCCTGGGTTGATTACCAAATTGTTTGGACTACCTGGAAACTCACAAAATTTACCCTTCTTAATAAGGCAATTATAAAGTAAAAATAGAGAAATACAGAAAATTCCGGAACTTAGAAGTATACGTCCTCATGTTTTCTCAATGTATATCAATGTAGAACTGTTTGGTGTAGGAGCTTAAGTCTTTAAGTTGTAAACAAATGAGATTGCCAGTTTCCTTCATCTATTTAAATTTAAAGAAACTGATCAAAGTGTATTAAGTGTAAAAACTAAAATTAGATTGCAATTTCTTACTGAAGTGTCTTATTGACTATGGTAATCTGTATACAGTGTGTGTGTATGTATATTATATGTATACATAAAATCACATACTTGATTATAAATTTTTAAATTTTTTGTTTTAGGTGGACACAGTATCTTTATTTTATTTTTATGTGGTGCTGAGGATCAAACCCAGTGCCTCATGCATGCTAGGCAAGCACTATACCACTGAGCCACAACCCCAGCCCCAGCCACAACCCCAGCCCCATTGACTGTAATTTCTATGTCAATTAAATATTGTAAAATTTTAAAAGAATGGAAGAATAATGGTAACTGTGCAGTTCACATGGCTGATGAAATGAAAACTTTTTTTGTGATGTTTTTTCCTGGTGTTCCTTGCCTGATGGTCTCATCTAGTTGTCACAAAAATGTTGTAAGAACTTCCCTTGGTTGAAGATAGTAAAAATTAGACCTTCAACATTATATTAGAGTGATTTTTTGAAAATTGCTCACTTAGCTTTCAGAATATCCACCTTGTAAATTGTGTCTAAAGAGTCAGACACACTCAGAAGATCCAGGGTTCAAGAGGATATGGTTTTAATACTTAAGAACTGTGTGGCCTTAACAGATGAGAAGAACATGAAAGAATAATTCAGGTGCTTAACAAACCAATTTTATAATGGAAGCCATTATTATCATAGTTCTTTTTATGATTGTTAAAATTTGCTAAACTTACAAAGATTTCTAGGTTGAACTTAAAACTATACATACAGAAAGTTTTGGGATTCCAACTTTAATAAGTTAACTAGAAGTTTTAAAAAACAAATTTCTGATTAGCATTTTTGCACAAAAAGCAAAAACATCTTTGAGGTAATTTTTTTCTTCTTCTATTTCCATAAGTTGGTGGAAAGCAAAGCTAAAGAAATTTTAAATATTTAACCATTGCATATTTGGAAAGGAAGAAAAATCCTACCTCTAACATAACTTCTATGGGAAATAAGAATCATCTAAGTCATTAATAGTTAAGCATCAAGGTTTTTTGAGATTAAGAGCATAAGGTGGTTTTCAGTTAAATATCAGCTATCATATTTGGTCATATCCTTTAAGTTGATACAAACACAAAATGTTTACTCAATTCTAACTTCAGCTATGTAGTATTTGAATTCATTTCCTAAGAGACAGACCTCCTGGTTTTATTATGTTAATACCTAGGCAGATTTTCTTTTGAAGACTCAATGCAGTATTAAGTCAAGTCATAAGAAAATTGGTGTTGTTAATAATACTTAACCACTTGAGTAGCCGAGTGGAGCATGTTAACTAAAGTTCCCATCCAGCTATTTAGGTTTTAATCTTTAATACTGTCAATTATAATTATAAAAGGACATAGGAGCCAGGGACCTCATATTCACCAAATGGTAAGGCTTTTACCCAAGTAATTTTATTAAGGACAGGAGGAAAAGAGCATGTTTCGTTTTATTTTTTATTTTTTAACAACAACAAAGAGAGCCTCCAAATGAAACATATTACCACTGTGACTTTGTATCAAATCTCACCTCTTAACATTAACCATTTTAGTCCTGGCTGGTCTCTTCTACATTTCATTCATGAAATATTTTCTCCTATAAAATGTGTAGTACTATAATAACTACATAACACAAAATGCACTTAGATGTCAGCTCCTTATTCCCAATTTTGTAACACTAAAATTTGTAGTTTTTATGAGTGGTGTTAGTTTCCATCCAACTAGCTTATGAGTTCACAAAGGGCAAGGATTGAATCTTATATTTATTTTGTGGTCTTCATCCCTATCCTAATACCTGGCATAGTGCTTGTCACCTTGAAGCTCTTCGATGAAGATTCATCTTCAAAACTTGTCAATTAAAATTCTTTACTACAGGTTAGTACAATTTCACACACTTAGCCTGTAACACTGAGGCCAAATCATATTAACATTTACAAACATATATTATAAATGTCAAATCCTAATGTTTCTCCTATTTATTAGTTTAGTTGGTTCAAAATGGTGAAGACTATTAAAAATGTCTTTATAAGCTTCTCATGAGTGAGAACAATGTAAACTAACATCTCTCTCTGACAGACCAGAATCAACCTACAACCATTTCCCAAATAATCTTTTAGAAATGAAGGAAACTGGCAATCTCATTTAGTTACAACTTAAAGACTTAAGCTCCTGTCCTGTGACACCCAAGCCCAGCCCAAATAATCAGATAAGGGAGGTACAGCAGGCTAACAGTACCCACTGTGGCAAGTGCTATGCACAAAGTGCTATGGACATAAATGTGAGGCAAACAAAATCTTTATTGCCATGGGAAACAAGTGCACTCATCCCACCTCACCAACAGCTTTAAGAGTCACAAAAATGCAGACTTCACACAATAAAATATAACATAGACTCAGGGGAAAAATGGTCCCTTGGACTATATTGGCTGTAATACTGAGGTAACCAATTGACCTTATTCAGTGAAAATACCTCTAACACAATGAAAAAAAAAATCAACTAGTTATAACATCCAATTCATATATACAATTCAAATAAAAATATATATTATTTGCTTTAATGTATAGCAAGTTTAATACATTAGTGTTTACAAAATAAAAACTGTTTTCTACTGAAATTTTTGTGCTTCCTCATCACTAAGCTTGAAAGAGCAGAAAAGTATGATTAAGGAATCTTACTTATGGATTTAAAGATGCGGTTTGTGAGTTCATGAAAGATGGATAAATACTAGTTGGAAGATTATTGCATCTTTAAAAACTGTTGCTTATTAAAATCTATAAACTTGAACTGTAAGACACAATTAAAAAAAAAAACCACAAAAATTTCTCAAAATAGATTAGAATACAGGAAACGTTTCATGAAACTACTGAGATACTAACCAGTGCTATGGCTAATATTAAAAACTGAACATTCTATTTAAATTGTACTCATACTAGTTCTACACACAGTGAACAATAGAACCACAATAATCAACCTCAAGCTAGCAACAAAGTTGCAAGGTCCATAAAAAGCTTCTTCAGTGGGCAAAATACTAGGGTACATTTAAAACATTTAGAAAGGGGAAAAAGCCTTTTAATAGTATAAAAGTTGTTTACTGGTGTTTTCTACCATAAAGCTCTTCTACAAATCAAAATGAAAAAAGCAATTATATATGTGACAGTGATCAGAGACTACAGTGCAGACATTTCATCTAACATTTGGCTGACAAATTTTAGTATAACAGATCATGACAATATTTGTTACACAGTTATGATTTAAAGCAGAACTAAAAACAGACATATACTCCATGTCCATATATTCTTCTCAGCAGTATCTGGGTTTAGATGAATCTGTAGGAAGTAGGTAAACTGTCAAATATCTTCTCTTCAATCAGCAGAAAAAAATGGATATGGACAGAGTTGGATTTTCTTTCTTTCTTTTTTTTTAATACCCACTATGGATTCAAATATGAAATTCTTATAAGTATGCCAATGCAATATTAATATTTAATAGTGTGTATGAACATACGGTCTACTAATTAAATAGGGGAAATTATAAGTACACTTTCAAGTTAAAATGAATTTTACAAAAAAAAAAGCATTCAAAAATCTGAAAGGTGTACAAAAATGAAATTGTAAAATAAATAATAAACCTGTCAACTGAACTTCCATAGAAATATGCCTGCAAATATGGATCAGTGACTCCACACTTGTGATGGATGGGTGGGAAGGCATTCCCCAGCAAGAGCCACCTAGTCTGACTCCTATACTTGGAGAAGAATTTCTGAATATAAAATCTGACAATCATTATAGCCTTTGTTAAGTCAACATCTTTATCACATTTAGGGTTAATGTACTACATCTTAATCTATTTAACACATTCTGAAATACCAATGTTTAAATCAAGGATTTTACACATTAGTCCACTTGTTTCAAGTTCTGTCCAAGGAATAGCTTCCTATTCATTTGTTATGTAAAATTCATTTGTTATGTAAATAGCAATTCCATCTGGGTCAACTAGGTAAGAGAGATTTTTCTGAGTGCTCATCTTTTTAACTTTTAGTTTGTGCTCCTAGTAGTACAAGTGCTCATCTTTTTAACTTTTCTCTAATTAATTGTGTAAATGTGCACTCATTAAAACAGCAAAAAGATTAATGGATAAATGCTATACATTTCCTGGTAAACAAAATCAGTTTCATCAAATATTAAATACACAATATTTTCCTTGGCTTAAATTGAGAATTTGCTTTTCATTTTTCTACAGTCATTGCAACCTTGCCAATAACCATATTACTTAAGCTTTCTTTTTTATGACTGCAAAGATTCTAAACTCTGATAATAATATTTATGCTAAATACACTTAAAGTAGACAATAAAATTTCAAGTAAAATAAACTGTATCCACATCTATTAGACCAAACGGGTCTCAACATCTAGATTTTACTTTATAAATTACACAAATACATTGTACATTCTGAAATAATGAATGCTTACAATATTAACTTGTAAGCTTTTCCACATAAAATGACTTACACAGGAATGTGAATGGATCAAATGTTTCTGATATAAATTGCAACTCTCTCTTGATTTTTCTCTTTTGTGGCTGTTGTTGTTTCTTCCCAGTTTCCACAGACTGCTGCAGGAGTTCTTATGCTTTGGCTATGAAATCTGTTTGAGCTGAATGAGGCAACATTGGTTATTAAGGCTTATTTCTATGATGGAGCATTAATCCTTAAATCTGATGCCATTTCCAGAGAACAGTAGGAGAATCACAGCTATCTTGAATCTTCAGGTTCTGTTTTGATGACTTTCTTTTCCAAAGTAAAAGCTGAGTGAGGGTAGTCTTTTAAAATCCCAAGGCTCTCTGCATAAAAATGAAAACACATAGATTGTGTGTTGATATTTCAAACTGATGGGACTACAAGTCAAACAGTTATAAAACAAGACCACAAACTTCATGGCAAATAGTATGCATGATTCTGCAATTCCATGTAACATTTTGTTCATAGAGGTGTGGTTAAAAGCTTGGATTATGGGAGCTGGGATTGTGGCTCAGCGGCAGAGCACTTGCCTAGCATGTGCACGCTCTGGGTTCGATCCTCAGCACCACATAAAAATAAAGGTATTAAAAAATAAATATTAAAAAAGCTTGGATTATGGATTTAAATTATGACTATGCCAATCACTAGTTTTATACAGTTCTAAAAGCAAGTTATACACCTTTCTAAGCTTTACTGTCTTGATCTATAAGATGAGGATGGTATTTACAGTGTAAAGTGGCATGAGAGTTAAATCATGAACTGTTCATACAACACAGCATATATAGAACGTTAAATTTTTAAAAATGCTTAGTCCAACAAATAAAATAAAACTGATCACTTATTTTGGTTAGAATATTTACTATCGAAGAAATGACAGAAAAACATCTTCACTGTTTAAATATGAAACTAGTTTTAAAATTTCCTCTTACCATGATATATTAAGGTAGGGAAAAGAGAGATAAAAGAATAATGACTCTATTTTCGTAAGAAATCACAATGTCTAATATACGGGCAGATACATACACAATTACAAATAAATGTATGTTAACACACAAGCATGTACACATATCTTTCAGCTAATAGACTTATCTGAAATTAGGTACCTCAATTTATGAATCCACCTTCTCTATACAGAAAGGAATTTTAAATTGTGCACGAGAGAAATAAAAATACTAGCTACCATTTACTGAATTCTTGTCAGCCATACAATTCATATATACCATCTTATTTAATTCTCACAACTACCTATGAGGCAAAAATGATTTCCATTTTACAGATGAAGCAACTGAGGGATAGGGTAAGTCAAGAGTTATTCAGTCAAGTATAATGCTAACATCTGGAGCCAGGTTTGCACTATATGTAACCCATATTATTTATATTCAATTAAAACAGAAGGAAAAAGGCTTTTTAAGGCACTCCTTTGTTCTATTCCACATAAAATCCAAGCTCAACTATATCTCTATGTAATAGAAATACAAAAAGTACATAATCATGGTAAGACACAATAAATTTAAAATTGGAGTATTTCTTTCATAGAGTGTCTTCAAAGGAATAAAAATTAGTAGAAAGTGTTTTATCTTTGTTTTGTTTTTAAGAAAGTTAAAGAGCAGATCACTTTTTCATGTTGTGAAAAACATGAGACTCACATGTGTTACCAGTTTAGAACAATTTCTTAACTTCTTTGACAGTCTTAAAAGCATCTAAAATCAAGTATGAAATAGTCACAGCACAGAATATTATTTAGGACTTTGACCTTTTTAGCATGTACTACTAGGAGCATAAACTAAAAATAAGAGACGACGACTCTCTTGATAACTTTTTTCCTAGAAAATATATAACTTAAGCTATCAGGTATAAAGTCATATTTAATTCTAATGTTTATAACACTACTTTTTCCACTGGCTCAGAACATAAATTTAGAATCAATTATTTTGTCTGGCCTCAGCTTCCTCATCTATAAAATCAGTGGCTTTGATTAAGTGACTCTCAAAGATACTCTAACTTTAAAAATTAATGATAACTAGATCTTTCAAATGGTGATCTCTTATAATTCAACTGTGTCTAACTCCCTTTACTTAAGTAAAAGTATGTAAACACCTAACTGAAAGCTGCTTATCCTCTTATGGAGGTCAGTTTACTTCTGAAATATATTATCCACAAAATATATCTGCATAAAAAAATTACATTCTGATACATTAGCTTTCTTAGTATGAGGACAAATATACATACCACCCAACAATTTCATATTATGTTACTGACAAAAAAAGAACCAGCCAAACTCATATCAGCTATTTATTATTCAAATTTTTGTATAAAAGATACGATTCAGCTGGGCACAGTGGTGTACACTTGTAATCCCAGTGGTTCAGCAGGCTGAGGCAGAAGGATAGAAAGTTGAAAGCCAGGCTCAGCAATTTAGTAAGGCCCTAAGGCCCTAACTTAGCAAGATCCTATCTCAAAAAGAAGACCATTCATGTAACAGCTAATCAAAAATAATCTCAATCTTTACAAGTTTTCCCTATCATTCTTTGAAATACTATAGTCTCAAAAATACAACTATAGAATCCATAATTTCAAAGGGAAGGAAAAACTGACCACTAATATTTTTGTTGGGGAGGGGAGAGGGACAGTTGTGGAGTAGAAAAACAAAATTTAAAGATGCTTTGTTCAAGTTTTACTCTTTGATTGTATAAGACATACTCACCTGAGGAGTGGGACTTTGCCTCATTTGAGTAAAGTCTACTCAGCTCCCCATCCACCACAAAATGATGGGGCTGTCTGTTCTGCAAATTAGGCATTCGGAGATTCAAAGGTCTCTCTCCTAATAAAAATAAAAATACATACATAGATAATATTTTAAAAATATCATAGTTTTTCTTAAAAACAAGCTTTCACAAATTGCCTTGAACACTCCATAGGAAGAAATGAAAGTCAATAGGCATTGAAGAATGTCAATGATTGTGGAAAAAGTTTTTAAATAATAATTGAGGAGGAAAATGGCAAGTTATTTCAAGCTAGCCCCAAGGTATATATAATTCTATGAAGACATCTTTCATAATTGCTTTTACTTGTTAACTCTTAAGAATGATTGGAGAAGTTAAATAAGACCACAATATTAAAAGTTTCTGATATATTTTAAGAAGGAAGAACTTTTTTCTCCTCCAGTATTTGGAACTGATGACAGAGGTAATATTTCATTCGATTGGTTAAGAATGCTTATTAAGAAGGTACTCTACTTGGAAAGAAGTCTTATTTTTTGACAACAGTGATCACTCTCCGGAAAGGTATAAAAATAATATGTAAAAATGATGACACTAAAAAATTATTGTTTTACTTCAAATACTTATTACTATTTAAACTGGAAGATATGCTTACATCCTTATATACTGTACATCTCCCTCCACTAGAGTGTAAGTGAATAGGGACTTGTATTGATCACTGTTGTATCCTCAGTGCCTAGAAGCATGCTGGGCATGTAAGAAATGCTTCAAAAATAAAAATTCGTTGAATGAGTGGATAATAATGATTTGGAATTATCTTCATGTGAGGACTTGAAAAAAATTAAATACTATTCAGTCAGAACGGTAAAAATATTCATGAATCAGTTTTCTAAATTTAAGAGTTAGACTTTGTCATAGTACTTCAGTAGCAGCTACCATATTCTCTTAAGAAATAAAGGTTATAAAATTTCAGACTAATCTAGTTTTGAAATCTAAAAAATATAAAAGTTTTGAGCTTTTCAAACAAGGTAAGGGCTGATGGTATAGCTCAGTGGTATAGTGCTTGCTTAGTATGTGCAAAGCCATGGGTTTGAGCCCCAGCAACGCAAGAAAAGAAAAAACAACAAATAGAGGCACACACAAACATCTTTAAGGGAATTTGTTTCTTCGGGAAAATGATCTGCACACTATTCGCATCTCCCTTCCTTACTTACGCTTTAGAAAATAAACACCAATCAGATGTGCCAGCTATGGTATAAGAATGATAAAATTTTTAAAAATTACAAATTAAAATCTCTAGGAGAAATTCTTTTTTAAAAAAGGGGACAACTTAAAAATTAAAACTCATAGAAAATTTATAAAATAATCTCTATACAACATCAAGATATAAAAATCAGCAATTTTTTTCAGCTTCTCTTTGAAGTATGCATATAGGGCTCTAAAGGCAAAGGCCATTCTGAAGATGTACCTTGTCCATCTGAGTTATCAGAAGGCAAGCCATTAGGGCTGTGCTCTTCTGAGCTCTGCCTGTAAAGCCCTGTAGACAGTCTTCTCTCGGCATGCTGCAGTCTCTCATAGCCAGCTTGGGCACAGAGGAGTTCCATCTGCTTTGCCATCACCTTTTCAGGCTGCTAGTAAGTAGAGCAAAAAATAAAATCAGTAATTCAAACATTCTAGATTTTTTAATGGTTTAAAGATGCCAATTTCAGACTGCAGTAAATATATTTAGTATTCATTAAAATTAGTTCACTCTTTATGTGGTACGCTCGGTTCCATAAATATGAATAAATGTATCACGTGAAAACATAAAATACTGGATTTCATACAAAAAAAAAAAAGGGTTCTTCTCAACCATATAAAGACAATTCCATCCCAGTTCAAAAGCAACATAACCCTAGCTTTATTTTCTAAGGTGTAGCAAGTTCATTAAAGTACTTTTTAAACAAGGAACACAAGAGCAACAGCAATATTTGCTATCAACTGCTTCTAACACACAGGGTGAAATGTTGGCATTTTTATTTTAGGATTTGGCACTATAATACTGACTATCAGTATTCTGATATGGTGACAGTATGTTTGAGGGATAAAAGGTGTAAAATGGCTGTCTAGAAGAACAAGACAAACATACCTCCCTCTAAAAATCAAATAATGCAAATTATGCAAAAAAAAAAAATCAATGCTAGTGAGGATCTTCACCTTCATCAGAGAATGAAACTGCAGCATTTCCCAACAATCATAAAGAGACATGTTTTGAAATGTGAAATTAGTGAGCTGACATATAAATTTATCTCTGCCTGTGTCTTATAAGTTCCTTCTCTATGCTCTGTTTAAATTATTTGTATGTGACATTCAAAGCAGTATGTCATATCTATGATATTTTCCAAGGAGATAATGGTCAAAATGTACTTTTATGGGGGGCTGTGGCTCAGCCATAGCACCCTTGCCTGGTACACTGCATATAAATATATTATTTCATGAAACATATTATTTCATATTTCTGAATTTAAAAAAAGCAAATTAGTTATTATTTAGGGGATAAATTTTGGTAGATGAAATATAAGTAAATAAAGTTCTATCAACAAGTAAAAAGATATTTAAAAATATGTACAAATATGCTCATTACCATGTTAGTTACATAAGAAAGCAAGCAAGCAAGCTGCTATATAAAATGGTTATGTCATAATTCAAAATATTAAAAAATAGGTGGAATGTGTTAATTCACCAAATAAATAGGATAAACACTCAGATTTTCTAAATGCAAATAAATCAGACCAAAAGTAATCATAACTTCATCTCAATTAAACTTATCAATTGATAACATTCAGCAAACATTTCTGAGAGGGAAATGTATTTTTCATCCTCTTACCATGAAAATATAAAATTTGGCAGTACTAAATTTGAATAAAAACAAGTCACTAGGGAAAAGCTCAAAAGTTATCACTTATAGTACTTTCTAAAAGATGTCTGCAGAAGTAATATTTTTAATGTTCATTTCAGTGAACATACATAAATGATAGCAAAAACACATGATGGTACATAGTAACATTTCTTCTTCTTGAATTTAAATGAGTTATAATAATAATTATTATACTGACTACCAATATTTTATTGAGAACTAATGCTATTTTATTTCAGAGTTATATTATAAGGAGGCTTCATCAACATGACTGATTTTCTGATACTAAATTTATTCTTTTGAATTTTCTTGAGTAAAAACTCTTGTCTAACTTCCTACAAACCACAAAGAATAAATAAGTAGTCCCACATCAGATTCTGTTAATGAAGCAAATCAAGTTGTTATTGCTATCCTGTGGCTACAGCTATGGATCAAAGGACATTTTAAAAAGAACCAGAAATAAATTTAGTCCTCAGAAACCTAAAACTGAAAGTAGGTGAAGCAGCCATTTATTTTTTAACCTACAGATATTATGATGATATGATAACTGGTAGTTTACTTACCTGTGAACTAAGGGCTGCGAGTTCTTCACTCTTGGCTCTAGCCTGCTGAAAGAGTGTTTGCATAGAATCCTGGAAATCTGGAAACCCATCCTGTGGGTAAAGAATATATCCTTTATATTTAAGTTTGTAAAAAACAAAATAATATAAAAAACTCAGATAATAAAGCAAATGAAACCACTTTAAACTCAATACTTGAATAATCACAGTTAAGGTTTTAATGAATAGTATTTCATTTTTAATTTTTTATGGTACCTTATATTCTACAACTGTAATATCAGTAAAAACACAAATAAAAATGAAGAAGAATATAATCATCACTATTTTTTTCTATCAGAAAGCAAACCTTAGGGCTGGGGTTATGGCTCAGATATAGAGGCTCGCCTACCATGCATGAGGCACCGGGTGCGATCCTCAGCACCACATAAAAATAAAATAAATATATTGTGTCCATGTATAACTAAAAAATAAATATTTTTTTTTAAAAAAAAGCAAACTTTATTATCATTATAATGGTTCCATAAAACTTCAACTAGTTGTTCAAGTACACTATCCTCATATTGGACATTTTAGATTCTTTTCTTAATTTCTGGTATTAAAAACACTGCAAAGCCAGGCATGGTGGCATACCCCTGTAATCCCAGCAGCTCAGGTAGGATCTTGAGTTCAAAGCCAGATGTAGCAACTTAGTGAGGTCCTAAGCAACTCGGCAACATCCTGCCACTAATAAAATATAAAAGAGGGCCGGGGATATGGCTCAGTGGGTCAAACGCCCCTGGGTTCTATCTTCAGAATTGCCTGCCGCCCCCCTCCAAGAAAAAACACTGCAAAAATATTTTCATGGGGGCTGGGGATGTGGCTCAAGCGGTAGCGCACTCTCCTGGCATGCGTGCGGCCCGGGTTCGATCCTCAGCACCACATACCAACAAAGATGTTGTGTCCGCCGAGAACTAAAAAATAAATATTAAAAATTCTCTCTCTCTCTCTCTCTCTCTCTCTCTCTCTCTCTCTCCTCTCTCACTCACTCTGAAAAAAAATATTTTCATGGACACAGCATTTTCTAGTTGAGATTAGCCACTATAAAAAGTTTTGAGAAGTAGAATTACTACAAACAGATGCCATTTTTTATGTCTTCTTACACACTATGCCGAAAGACCTTAACTGGGTTATAATATAAGCAATATGTGACATTTTGTCTTGGTACTGTTAGGTTTTTTTAAAAAATTTGTAAATTTATTTTTATTTTGATACTCAAAAAATTTTTTTAATTTACATATTTGTAATTTACATACTATAGTATGAACTTCTGTTTTATTTTGTGATTTCTTCTATTGCTATAGAATTCTGAAAGGAAGGCATTCTACTTTGTATTCAAATCTACTCTTAGTTTTTATAAGGCAATTTTTGGGTCTTTGTTCCTCCTTCTCCTTCTTACTTTAGTTGTTGAGGGACCTTTATTTTATTTATTTATATATAGCGCTGAAAATCAAACCCAGTGCCTCACACATACCAGGCAAGTGCTCTACCACTGAGCCACAACCCCAGGCCTGGTTTTTTGCTTATTTGTTTCCTTAAATATAACTCTCCAATCTATCTGAAATTAATTTTGTTAATATTTAATGTGGTAAAGATTCAAACTAAGAAAAAAAATTGTAAGTCTTATCCAATAATTCCAATCTAAATTGCCTAAGAATTCTTCCATGCTGGCTTGTGATTTCTGTTTTATCATAGCAGGCAATGGGCCTTTAGAACTGGAAAGACCTGTACTTGTTTTCCAGTTCCACCGCTTAGGAGCTATGTGACTTTGCATGGGCAAATGTAATAATCCTGAATGTCAGTTTTCGCCTATGAAAAAATGAGGACAATAGAACCTATCAGAGTTGTTGTGAGGATTAAATGAAATAAATAGGGGCTATTTGTAGAAACTCTATTACTGGACAATGCTTCAACAAATTATTTGTTTTATACTTGACAAGTATTTGGGCTTAATTCACCTACTACTTTCAAGTTTCTTTTAGTTGCCTGTTTACTGCTCCATGTGAACTTCAAAACTACAAAACATCATGATGGTGTATACTAACTTTAAGGAAAGCTACTGAAGGACTGGATTCCTCACAGAAACTGTCATTAACTCCAAAACATGCATTTCTTCTGTTGTTTGATTATATAACCGAGGGTGAATCATTAAATGCAATAACAAAAAAAAAAATAGTTTCCATTACTTGAGATGTAAGATAGTGATTCAAAAAACTTCTTCCATCAGGTTCTTTTCAAAAAATTATTTCTCCATTGCAGAGCCCATATTTTCAAATATTTCATCTATCAAAATTTATCCCCTAAATAACAACTAATATGCTATTTTTAAATTCAGAAACATGAAATAATATAATCAAGTCAAAAGCAAATACATTTACCATCCTGAAATAGCCTTGTATAAGTTTCATGGTGATTTTATATACAATCATTATCATTAAAGTATTGAGAACAGCCAGCTTTCTAAGTCCCTACACTGATATTTGGAATATATAGAACATAATCATTAGGTGATAATCTAGACTAAAAGAAAAAGTTCCCTTTTTCTTATCTATTCTATTTTTCTTCTAGGAATTTATTCCTAAAAATCCAACTTAGTCTTAGCAAACCTTCATTTAAGTTTGAAAGTTCAATGAGATAAGGTGGTAGAAGACTTGGAAGAAAAACAACAATAAGAGCAGCTATCACTTTACAGGTGTATACAAAGTACCAGTTCCTATGTTCTATACTTTATGTACATTATTCCTCTTCACAAACAACCCGAGGTTATCCTCATTTTATTGCTGTGGATAACTGACTTCCAACTCTATGCTCAGTCTATAAAATCCTACAACGAAACAATAACAATTACCTTCATGAAACAATAACAATTACAGTTTTCTTTAAATTCTAAGTTACTATGTATGGCAGCAGAATGCATTACAATTCATATTACACATATAGAGCACAAATTTTCTTATCTCTGGTTGTACATAAAGTAGAGTCACACCATTCCTGTATTTATACATGTTCTTAGGGTAATAATATCCATCTCATTCCACCGTCTTTCCTACCCCCATGCTCCTTCCCTTTCCTTCCCTACTCTTTGCTCTACTTAGAGTTCATCTAATCCACCCATGCTCCTTCTCCACAACCCCATTATGAATCAGCATCCTTATATCAGAGAAGGTTATATACTGGCTAACTTGACTTAGCATTACATTCTCCAGCTCCATTTACCTGCAAATGCCATGATTTTACTCTCTTTTAATGCTGAATAGTATTCCATTGTGTGTGTGTGTGACACACACACACACATTTATATACACATACATTTTCATTATCCATTCATCAACTGAAGGGAATCTAGGTTGGTTCCACAATTTAGCTATTGTGAATTGTGCTCCTATAACATTGATGTGGCTATGTCCCTGTAGTATGCTGTTTTTAAGTCCTTTGGGTATAGACCAAAGAGTGGGATACCTGGGTCAAATGGTGGTTCCATTCCCAGTTTTCCAAGGAATACTGCTTTCCATATTGGCTGCACCAATTTGCAGTCCCACCAGCAATGTATGAGTGTGTCTTTTTCCCCCACATCCTTGCCAACACTTATTGTTGTTTGTATTCTTAATAGCTGCCACTCTGACTGGAGTGAGATGATATCATAGAGTAGTTTTGATTTGCATTTCTCTAATTGCTAGAGATGTTGAACATTTTTTTCATATATTTGTTGAGTTGATTATGTATCAGCTTCTGAGAAGTGTCTGTTTAGTTCCTTGTCCCATTTATTGATTGGGTTATTTGGCTTTTTTGGTGTTAAGATTTTTGAGTTATTTACAGGTTTGTTTTTTGATGTTACTGCTCTGTTTTATAAGAGGTGGCTTTAAATGTATGACTTATGCTGAGTTCGAAACCCAATTCTACTACCTATTTCTGAGATACAGGGCAGACTATTTCATCTGTTTGTTTTTTCATCTATAAAATAGCAATAGTACCTAACAAATAGTATATGAAAAATACTTGCCACAATGCATGGCACATAAGTATTACCTACTAAATATTTGTACTGATATTTACTCAGATTATCCAAAAAGCCACCAGATTTAGTTGGAGTAAAGAAAACATCATGCTATAGTGATATATCTCTATCATACAGAGGAAAAAGGATAAATTTTAGCGATATTTCCATAGTGTGGACATCATAGAATGAGTATGAATAGATATTTCATATGAACTAGATATTTTATACTAAAATCAGCAGGAGAATGTTGAGCAGATTTGTCAGGGACTGTTTTAGTGAAAAGCACTCTGGAAATCTAGAAACATGCTTATTGACTCAACAAAAATGCCATGTAACTGGTTCACACACTGCTGACATGGGGTACAATGGTAAAAAGAGACACACCTTCTGCTTTCTTAACAAACAGTCTTGAGAGGGAAACAGACAGAGATCTGGGGCCCAGCTGAGGCACTATGGCAGAGAAGGCTCCTTAGAGGGCATGATGTCAAGGTTAAGACTTGAAGGAAGAGAGTTTTCTAGAAAGAGAGAGCAGCTTAGATAAAAACCTAGAGACGATTTGGTGAGAACTTTTAAGCTACATTAAGAATTTTAGGGGCTGGAGTTGTAGCTCAGTTGTGGAGTTCTTACTTCGCACATGTGAGGCTCTGGGTTTGAGTCTCAGAACCACATGTAAATAAGTAAAATAAAGGTCCATTGAAAAAATAAATAAATAAAATAAAGGCACTGTATACACCAACTATATATATATATAATTTTAGGTTTTATCTTAAATGCAAAGAGAAGTGATTAAAAGTCTTAGAGAAGAAACTGTAAAATCTACACTTAAGAAAGGCCAGGCTGAATGTGATGGTGTCAAAGACGGTGGTAGGGAGACTGGTTAGAGGGCTATGATGGAGTTGGAGAATAGCACCCTAGTCCTGAACAGTAGCAGATGTGGCAAAGATATAAATCCCTGAGATTAGGCAACTAGGAGTCTGGTAGCAACGTCTGCTACAATATGAAACTCTGGGCCAGGGGGTCTGAGGTGAGGTGAAAAAAATCAACTTTCAATTAGGGACGT